ATGTCATCACTTTAATGAATTACGCATAATTTCACCCAAATTGCCACTGTGTGTGTGTGTGTGTGTGTGTGTGTGTGTGTGTGTGTGTGTGTGTGTGGACAGTCACGATTGGGTAGGCGCAAAGTCCCAATTCTTTGAGACTACGTGTCCGTTGGTAGGTACTGGTCTTTTTCAAACTCCGCTGGTCACGCCAGATTATCCGCTTTGTGTAACTCTAACAGATGTGCTCTATATCTAGTCGCTGTGTAAATCATAGGTGGGTTCTGTAGGTGGTGACTCAAACCCAAATGAGTCTGAGACGGCGTCTGCATTAGGGATTGGTTAACCCCCACCAGCGGTCATTAAACATGCATACACATAAATGTATACTTACGCGCGTGCGCCCGTGCGCGGCACACACACACACACACACACATATATATATATATATATATATGTGAATAAAAAGGGACATAAGGGAAAATATTCTTAGCCAATGCGTTTCGTCCTCAGAGGGAGTTTATCAAGGCAGTGATATGCGTCGGCTAAGAATAGTTTTTTCCTCTTGTCTGTTTTATTCATTTGTTCCATTACTGATACTCTCCCTATGAAAATAATATATATATATATATATATATATATATATATATATATATATATATATATATATATATATATATTATTGAAATGGATATGGCTCTTGAAAACGAACTGTGGCACCATGCATCCACGCAGAGAAAGAAAGGCAAAAAGGGAAAAGATAAGAAAAAGAAGAAAGGGAGGAAGAAGTAATGCGAGACGGATCATAGGCGAACACACACACACGGCTTAAGAGGCAAAAAGAAAGAAAAGGGTTATTTTGGATGAGTGGCAAATGCCGAAAGGAGTGTCATTACAATGACAATGAGATTGAGTGGGTAGGGAAGTGTTATCGAAACTATTGGTACGAGAAAGCATCTTACTATCAAAATTAAAAGGCCACCTGCGAGCAAGCATTGACCGATTTCCCCACTTGTCCGCGCGAATGGAATTGTGTTATCAAGAAATGTTCACCAAAGAAAGTCCACTTGAGAACGTTAGATTTTGATAATTGACAAAACTCAGGTGTAGCTTGGAGCCTTAGCTGGGTATGGAAAATTAAAATCCCACACAAGTAGTATCACTAATTAAGCTCTTTTCGACAAAACAGACTTTTGCCCTGCGATAATAAAATTTTGTTATCAGTCACATGAACCGAAGGAAAATGAATGGAATAAGAAATGTTTTTATTGCTGCCTCGGAGACGTCAGACTGGCTGAGAACTTGGAGAAAATTCCTTTCTTAGACCATGTCGGAAAATCCAGCCGTCTGATGCATTACCGATAAACTGCTTGACAAACGCCACGTGTTGAACAAAGAGTTGTCACATTATCCGTTCATGATAACGGCGATTTTAAAGAAAGAAAAAGAGAAAGAGGAGAGATCATTAATTTTCTTTAGTTAAGCAAGGCATATTTCTTTTCCAAAACAAAGCCGCGGGTTGTTCACGCCCGACTAAGACCTCATTGGCCGAGAGTGGTCACGTGACGCACGAAGAAGACTGTCGACGCCCCCAACCAGAGTATAAGTATGAGAAGCCGCTACGAAGAAGTGGGGAGGCAGTTCACGCCCTCAGAAGCATGGTGAGAAGTGGGAGGAGAAAAAAAGTTACCAAAAATGGAAAAGAGTGGAAAATCCCTAACCAGAAATAAAAGAGGTGGGTATGTATTTAGAATTATCGAGGAACTCCCCGACGCCAACAGACCCAACCCGGTTTTTGACGGCGTCAATAAAAACGAGGCCCCAACAGGCAGAAATCAGTTCGTTCGGACCCTGGCGGGCAGAAGACATTTCGAGCCCTGGCGGCAGAGATGATAGACCAAGATAGCTGACCAAGATTCACGCAAAATTTTGGACTCCTCTTCAACCAAGAACAATTATTTTGAAGAGCGACTTAGAACCAGACCACAGAAATAAGTTTTTCGACTTTCGTCCAAAGACATACCGAAACACAAATTTCTTAGAGAGCAAACAACTTGAAGCGTTAAAACTTGCCCTAGCGAAAGCGACGTGTCAATCCACAGAACGGGTCGGGGAGATAGATGCAGTCCTATGTATCGAACAACTAGACATAAAAAGTTTGTTACCTTTTTTCTTTGATACTTTGAACTTTTTGAGTTTTCATTTTATTTTCTTTTATGCATATTTGTGTGTTATCACCCCCGTTGAACTCAATTTGCATTACAGCCCCAACCCCTGTTTGATCAGTGCAGTTACCTTGGTAACCAGCCGTTGGAAGCGAGTTGGGAACGTTGAGGCTGATATCAAATCTAACCAGATTCCCACCCGAATCAGCAAAAGGTTAGAACGTCACATTTGTGTGCCGCGACCGATACCAAGCCAGTTGGTCGTCACAGTACGAGACAACACGACTGACGCGACAGGCGAACGTCACGTTTGGAGCAGCGACACCCGGACGGAGCAGCGAGAAGCGAACAGCTGGCGCTGCGGCGAAGACGTCACAATTGGTGCTGTTTAGGGACGTCACAACTGGGGTCGTGACCGGGATAGGACCCTGGAACGGCCACGTCACAACTGTCGCCGTGGTAGATCAGGATAGAACGTCACAGTTGGCGCTGCGACCCGGGACGACGTCACAAACCTTTAAAATTTCTTTTTTAAAATTTTAACAGTTTAAAGGTTTGTTCGTTTTGAAGAGCCATATCCGTTCAAGGCACTACCTTAGAACAAAAAACAAACTTAGAATGATACCTTGTGATGGCCATACTCGATGACCTTCATATATAT